AAAATAGTTTGTCATAAAACAGCAGTGTAACAGGTTCTCAACCTTTACACTACACGCTAGTCAGATGCCTTACATTAACTTCGAATTTAGTGATAACATTGAATAATAACACACTGTTTCATATTTCCAAACAGTGACAGGTCAGAAGCAAAAATCTGGTTGCTAATCTGCTGTGTGCTTGTGCCATGTTAAACTCTGGTTTTCGAGCAGCAGAATTTTGGCATTTTTCTTCTGCTTGCTCACTGCTCTGGCCCAAGGAAATGAGTTGGATGAGTGCCCTTCTTTTTTATTCAGAGATGCCATAGATTAATTTTAAAGACTTCCTTTCATCTACATAACAGAATGGGTTCAGATAGCCTTTTAAGCTATTATCTGCAGTTTGGAACTTTGTGCTGGAAAGTCATAGCAGTCATACAAAAAGGGGTCTGTTAGAAACACTGAACAATGAGAGTTTGACATTTTTCTCCTCCTGCCTCCAGAAAAGAACCAAAGCAACTATTTTATTGCATTTATGTGTTTCATAAAAGAATGTGGGGTTATATTTATACGCCAGCAAGCTTCATGGAAATGACAAAACTGTGCAGCGTGTTTCAGGGGATATTCTCATTAATACCGCATTCCCACTGGGTTGGTGTGGGAATATGGTCACAAATGATTCCATGTGTCCCGAGAGGCCCTCAAACTGTGTTCTTGTTTAAGTATAAGAAAAATAAGGAGTCATGCTCAATCTGGGATGAAACTCAACCTTATTTCGTAGGGGGAGGGCGGCCAGGGAGGGGAGAGGGTAGGAAACAGTGCACAACACATTTAGAATTTTGGCTGAAATGAGGCTATGTATACAAATATTTTCAACAGAAAGTAAACACAAACCATGTCTTTTTGCCCTTCCATGTAAGTGCTTCTTGGTCGGTCACATTCGTTCTCTTTTTTTCTGTTTCCCCTCTTGATTTCATTGATTTTCTGTGAGTCTGCATGTGCGCACATTCTTTGAATATAAATTGCTTTAATTAAAAACCACCTGAGCCAGGAAATTCAGTTCTCAGCTTATCAGGATGAAGATTTAGCAGAAGGTTTTCACGTCCTGGTTGCCCTTCCAGAGGAGCCGTGATTTTCCAGGACAATCTCTTCTTTGAACCCAACATGAAAACATCAGGGTTCTTTTGGGAACAAAGAAATATACATAGGAAATAAAGACATTGTTTTATCAAATCCTCATCTTCTACTCTGACGTAAGCTGGCTAGGAAAGAGAGTGCCTCCTTCCAAGAGGAAAGTGGATCAAGTCTGTTTTCTTCATACCTTATCCTGCTAAACTCGATTGGTTTGACCACTCTGTAGTATATACAAATATCAGACCATTGTGTTGTACATTTGAAATGAATATAATGTTATCTACCAATTTTACCTCAGTTAAAAAAGTAGAAGCAAGCTACTGACCCCCCTTCCCTGGAATTTCGTCTCCACCTCCCATCGCTGACCCAGCACCACCCCTGGGCATCCACCGCCATTCAGCTAGTATGAACCACAGGCTGCATAACGGGCCGGATCTGCACTCCTTTATCTGGACTGCTTCGGGCCCATTATTCATCATATTTATTTCAGCTGATTCTGCCTCATTCTGGGATGGGGAGGAGCTTTTGCCGTCCGAATCTGGGCTACTCAGAACACTTACAGAAGAGCAATAACCCCATCCTATAGCTTGTCTTCCCAAGTGTGACTGCTGGTTGCTTCAGGCCCAAAAGGAGGCGTTGGGGCAACTAGCCCAGGATACATGTGTCTATACAGTGTCCTCTGACACACATGCTGGGTTTGTGATGGCCCTCCAGCTTGCCACTGTATGGAGCCAGCAGACTAACTCCTTCCCATCCCTTTCAGAGCTCTCTCGTTACCCCCCAAATAATCCCTTTCCATCCACAGACTCAATTGCAGGTTTGCAGTGACGAGGTCCTTGCTGCATCCTGTTGCTTCCGGGAGTCTTTCCAGTACCCTCCTTCAGGCATCTCCCTCATTTCCTCTCCCTTCTAGATTCTCTCTCTCTCTCTCTCTCTCTCTCTTTTTTTAAGATTTTATTTATTTATTCATGAAGGAGACAGGCAGAGGGAGAAGCAGGCTCCCTGAGGAAAGCCCGATGTGGGACTCGATCCCGGGACTCCAGGATTACGCCTTGGGCCGAAGGCAGGCGCTCAACCGCTGAGCCCAGGCGTCCTTCCCTTCTAGATTCTCTACTTGGAATCCAGCTCTTGCTCTCCATGTGGACTTGATGCCAGCCTTACCCCTACACTCATTTTTGGACACAGACTCCAGCCCCCTATACCTCCATCACCGGTCTGAGGTCTTAAGACCCCAGCTCAGTCCAAGAGACTTGGGCCCCTTCCACAAGGCATACCTCAGGACATAAGTCATTATGGCTGTGTGGTACACAGACTGCCCAGATTGTATACATTGTCTCTCAGAGTTTGTTCTCATTCTAATATCAAGAGTAAGAGAAGTCTAGCCATGCTACTTAACAGTCTGGTACCGGGGGACATTTGAGGAATATCCAAACCAAGTATTGACAAAGTCACATGGTTTAGTTCATATTAAAGTAGTAAGCACTTCAGCAGATATAAACAAAAGGGTACATAATAATCTGCCACTTGGAAACCTTCTAATTTAAGAGATCTATGTTTAAAATATTTTTTTACACTTACTTAGCACCTACTTCCTATACCACTGGACAAGGTGACAGATAACAGGAATTAATAAAGACATTGTCAGTTACCACAGAAACTGTGCAATACAATAGGGGAAATAAGACACACAAACAAAGAGCAATGGTGCTCTAATAGATGTGTGCACTGAGCACTCTGAGTGGAAGGGATGGGTCATTCTCCAAACCTTTGTCAAAGGCCTGCTGTGTTCCTGAAACTAGGAATAGAGTTAACACATAGTTCCTGTTTTCAAGAAGCTCACTATCTATGGCAGAGAGCAAAGTAAACAGATGAACACCAAACGATGTGACACAGGGCACACTAGGGAGATACATGAGATACAATGGAACTCAGAGGTGGGGTGCTAAACATAGGTACTCAAGGTAGATACCTGAGCAACCAGAACTGACTCCAGATGTGAACAATTGGCTTTATAAATGGCTAAACCAGTTGATTATGAAAGAACCCTGTCCCTAGCCCAGGCTGGATGGCCAGAAAGTTTCCTGGAGGAAGTTATGCCCGATTAGACCCTCAAAGAACAAGTAGAAATTGACCAGGCCAGAGCACTTCAGACAGAGCTAACAGCACATGCAAATGCTTGGTGGGGTGAGCACAGTGCGCACCCAGAAGAATCGGTGTGCCTTCACCAAAACCCCCTGATAAGCACCCAGACGATGTGCACCCGCCCAGTGGGGCTTATCAGAGTAAGTCCTATGAAGTGAGGCAGCCTGCTTATTGGAACCATCTAGAAGCCATCAGAGGTGACATTTGACAATAGTCAAGATCGGAAACAACAGTACACGCACACACGTGCACGCTATTAATAACCATAAGCCCAAAATACACCCTGATGTTGAAGACCAACCCTTGAGCCAAGAACAAAAAGGGAGAAACTGGTAAATAAAGCAAAGCAGACCACAGGTGGAGGGTGGAAACAAGAAAACCTCAAGAAAAGCCTACAAAAAATTGCCCAAAGGGGGAAAAAAGAGGTTAAGATCAACCCAAAAACTGCTCCAATAATAACCTAATTTGAGACTTAAGAGAAGTTGGCAAGACTGAATGCAGAAATGAAAATTAAATGGAAAATGAATAAATCCAATGTTACAAGTATAGTGAGCATCTGTTGTTTCTGCCTGCTTGGAATCACCCTCATCTGTGTCTCATGGAGCCTCCCCTTCCCGTGAGGGCACTGGGCCACGTGGCTCGAGGGAAGCAGACCCTCCCGGCCCCTTCTCCACCACACATGTGGGAATGTGACCCAGGCCTGTCTGTGGTGGCCCATTCGCTGTGCCCCCAGTGACGAGTTCACAAGTATGCAAGTGACCAAAGCCTGACCAGACAGTCTCTGCCAGAACTTTTCTGGGGAGTTTAATGAAGAACCTCTTCTTCACTGGGGGCAGAAAGCAGGTTGCAGGTGAGCCTCAGGATGCTGGAAACCATCTCCACCAGCAGTGAGAGATGGGGTCCTGACGGCATCATTTCAGCCTCTGGAGCTGATATCCATCCCTGGGTTTCTCTGTTATTTGAGCTCATTCTCTTTTTTGCTTGAGCTAATTTGAGTGGAGTCTGTTGCTTACAATCCAGAAGGTCCTGATTAATTCACGAAGGCTCTTAGTCACTAACATCATGTTTTCAAGTGACAGGCATTCCAAGACTCCCCTAAACAGCTAGACCTGATGTACCTCAAGCTCTCACAAATGAAAGCATCGGAAACAAGAGTTCGCTAGGGTTCACAGCAAGCCCTTGGTTCTGACTTATTAAAGAATTTCTTGCTCTCCGCAGCTGCAGGCACTGGTTTATTTATTTTTTTTTAAAGATTTTATTTATTTATTCATGATAGAGAGAGAGAGAGAGGCAGAGACACAGGCAGAGGGAGAAGCAGGCTCCATGCACCGGGAGCCCGATGTGGGATTTTCGATCCCAGGTCTCCAGGATCACCCCCTGAGTCAAAGGCGGGTGCTAAACCACTGAGCCACCCAGGGATCCCCTGCAGGCACTGGTTTAAAGGCCGTGGCGGGAAGCCCGTGCGCGGTTGGTGTCGTCGCTTTCGCGCCCGCTCGGATTTTTCATAGAATTAACCAAACAGGGATCCCTGGGTGGCGCAGCAGTTTAGCGCCTGCCTTTGGCCCAGGGCGCAATCCTGGAGATCTGGGACCGAATCCCACGTCGGGCTCCCGGTGCATGGAGCCTGCTTCTCCCTCTGCCTGTGTCTCTGCCTCTCTCTCTCTCTCTCTCTCTCTCTGTGTGTGTGTGTGTGTGACTATCATAAATAAATAAAAATTAAAAAAATTAACCAAACAAAATGAGCCAAGATGTCTGTGGACCTGATGACCTACGAGGCCCAGTTCTTCGGCTTCACACTGCAAACCTGCATGCTGAGAATCTACATTGCATTTCAAGACTACCTGTTTGAAGTGATGCAGGCCGTCGAACAGGTCATTCTGAAAAAGCTAGGTGACCTCCCAGGCTGTGAGATCAGCCCCGTCCAGGTTCGTAAATGCGCAGAGAAGTTCCTCGGCTTCATGAAGGGACATTTCGATAACCTTTTTGGCAAAATGGAGCAGCTGTTTTTACAGTTGATTCTGCGCATTCCCCCAAACATTTTGCTGCTTCCGGAAGACAAACCCCAGGAGCTGCATCCTTGTAGTGAGGAAGAGTTCCGGCTCCTCCAGGAGGAAATTGAACAGTTGCAGGAGAAGTATAAGACCGAATTAGGCGCTAAGCAGGCCCTTCTTGCAGAATTAAAGGAACAAAAAATTTTGCAGGCCCGACTTAAGCAGACACTGGTTTTGTTTGATGAACTCGAAAATGCTGGCCGAGATCACGGGACTAGTGATTTCAGGGAAAGCCTGGTGTTCCTGGTCCAGAACTCCAGAAAACTACAGACTATTAGGGACACTGTGGAACGGGAAGGCAGGAGAATGAAAATACTGTAATTTCTAAGTAGTGACAGGAACCCGTCAGAAAGTAGAATAGGAAGGGATTGATGTGAATGATATTCTGGTGAACTGAATGTCTTACGGGATTTAGTTTATTGGCTCTTTCTTGTACTCCGCACTTCCCTCTGTCTGGCCCCACTCTGCTAGGGCATCTACACAACCCTGAACTAATCCTTGGAGCCCGTGTTCCCTAGAGACCTCTCACAGGTGGGAAGGGGTTCCTGGTCCAGCAGCATGTCCCCGGGCACCAGGACTGCAGAGAGATCTGTAAAAGCAGTTCCTTGATCAGGGGCTCCTTGTAACCTTGATCCTTCTGACTTATTCTTTGGTTGTGATCAAATGAGAAAAAGGTTAAGTGGGCGGCTTTGTTAGGAACCAGCCACTGCATGGCTGGATGGGCGCCGGCACCCGTGGCCTGCTCTCCTCCACAAATTGCCTTACATAGCAAGTTAGCCGATGGGAAGAAGCAAATAGAGAAACACCACCCGTGTGATCCTTAGTAAAGAGAAGTTGTTTTCGTTCCTAAAATAAATGCTTTCTGTGATCATGAAAAAAAAAAAAGAATTTCTGGTACAAAAAGTTCATGCCAACAAAAAGCATTTTGAGTAAGTCAGAAACCCTACCTAATTTGTATCTTCACTCCCTAAACACTTACTGAGCAAGTTGGGGGGCCAGGCACGGTGCACAGTGCTATGCAGAAATGTAAGACGACATCCTTGCATAGAGAAACTTACAGTCTGGAAAGCTGGATGTGTGAACACAAGCAGAGTAAGAGCTATAGTCTGGGACAAAGTGCTGAGGGAGCCCAAAGGGGAATATAAACATCTTCCGTCCATCAGAAGGAAAATCAACCCTTCCACTTTGGGCAGAAGAGATCACCACCCGCTGACCTACCACATTCACTTTAAATGTACTCATCATGGTGGAGAAGAATCCCTCAAGCTTGGAGACATTTCCATGCTCAGGTGGAAGAAAGGACACCTAGACTGGTTTATTGCCTGTAGCCAGTGTCGGGCACAGTTGCTTTATCTACGTTAAGTCCAAACAGATGGTTTGCAGTGACACAGACGTGCCAGGGCTTTGACGTGTCCTGAGAGCATCTAAACAACAATTCAACAGCTAACTAATGTTATGGGACGGTCACTCAAATACGATTGCCCTGGTCAAAATGTAAGGGGTTGCCAAAGAAGTCAGTAATCAAGATGATTAAGATTTTAATGCAAAAAAATAAAAATAAATGAAATATCAAAATTTTAAATAAAGATGGGATCAGACCCTGTGCAGATGTGGCTTGTCCTCACTTGCCTTACTCCAGTTCCCATCTTGCCCTGGAGATGGTGGCTCTCTGCACCCAGTAAGGTTTGTCAGTCTGTCTCTGTCTTCCTGCCCTAAGCAGCAAAACAATCCTTAAAGTGGGCATGGCTCATGTGCCCCCACGTGGGGCCACCAAAATAATGTGAAGCCAGAAACTGCCTAGAAACCATGCCTCCCTAGGGAGGCAGGCAGGGAGGCCCACCCTGTACCCAATGTAGGCTTGGAAGGAGAAGGAAAACTAGCGTAGATCATGGACCTCTGTCTTCACTACTCGAGAGAAGGGCAAGGGGACTGGCCTGACTCACCAGGGTTGTTGAAAACATGAGAAATGTCGGACCCTCTCCAGGTCCCTGACCAGCCAGATGGCCTGAGGAGTTTTGAAGAGCACAGTGAATCATGAAAGCAGGCCATGTCCCCCGTTTCTCCCTCATCCAGCCCATCATCCAGCCCCACCTTCTGGGAGACCCTGGGGCTCAGTAAGCCAGTTGTAGCACCATCCTCATCAAGCTCCGTGCAAAGCAAAGGGAATGGGGCAGACGTAAAAGGGAAAACTAATGGACTGCCAACTCAGGGTTAGGTGTCTGAAGAGACTGGGACCTAAGATCGAGCCAAGTTCTACCAAACCATCGATTTGTTCATCTCTAAGTTGAAGGTAATGTCTCTCACCTTGCCGTGTGAGGTGTTCCCAAAGAATGAAGACTACAAAACAAAATGGGTTTCAGATACAACAAATCACTCTCTGTATTTAACTAGAGAATTTTTCAAGTTGTTTTTTATCTGCTTTTGACAAAAGGGTAGGGGAGTTCTTGGCATGAACTGTGATTTATGCTGGATGAGGAAGCATGCCACTTCGTTATCTACGTTGTTATGATCAAAATAGCTAACATTTAGGTGCCATACACCCTACTATGTTTATATGTATTATTGCCTTTAAAGGGAAGGTATTTCTTTTAATAATGGAGCCCCAAGAAAGTTAAAGGGAATTTATGTATCTTCTGTTTATTAAAAGATTCATTTTTCATTCATTTACTCATTTGACAAATAATTATGGATGGATAAATAAGCATACAGGTTTTTTCCTTCTACATGCTTAAGGCCTCCAAGGATTACTCCATGTTATCTTAGGAGAGTTTGGAGACTTATTTGTAAGAAAGAAACCAGTTTAACCAACGATTTTATTATACCAATACCAAAAGTTAACTCGGTCTCTGAACTCATAGTGTTTCCTCTACTGCTACCTTGAGACCACGCAGTTTTAAAAATATTTTGACTTGGGCAGCCCTGGTGGCCCAGCGGTTTAGCACTGCCTTCAGCCCGGGGTGTGATCCTGGAGACCCGGGATCAAGTCCCATGTCGGGCTCCCTGCATAGAGCCTGCTTCTCCCTCTGCCTGTCCCTGTCTCTAATAAGTAAAATAAAATCTTAAAAAAAAAAATATTTGACTCTTGGTGGTCTCATTTTTCGTGGAGAGTCACCCAAATGCCCTGATGTAGTTCATGCAAAGCAGTCATCCGAATGACATTTAGTTAACACCTACTATGTGCTAAGGAACTCTGTGCTGTTTGCTGCTGAATATACAGGAAAAAATAAGGCACAACTCCCACCCTTCAGGAGATCATTGTTAAATGAAGGAGAAGGGGATCCCTGGGTGGTGCAGCGGTTTGGCGCCTGCCTTTGGCCCAGGGCGTGATCCTGGAAACCCGGGATCGAATCCCACGTCGGGCTCCCGGTGCATGGAGCCTGCTTCTCCCTCTGCCTGTGTCTCTGCCTCTCTCTCTCTCTCTCTCTCTCTCTCTTTGACTATCATAAAATAAATAAACATTTAAAAAAATGAAGGAGAAGTACACAAATAATGATCATACACCATGATTTGTGACAACAAAGTGCTGCACAGAAGTGTTGCAGGCACACCAAGGGAAAAAGCACAAAATCCACTTCATCATAGCAAACACTGAAGGGTGCCTCAAGAGAAAGATCTACTACAACCAAGTAAGAAAAAGACCCAGGAAGAGTGGTATTTGGAAACCTTACCAGGAAGTGTGGATTATCACACTCTTGAGAGCTGGCGTTTTATCCCAGTATGCAAGTTTTTGGAGTCAGATGGTGAAATCAATCACTGAGGCATCGGATTTCCGAGCCAGCTGGGAAGAACTGGCAAGATTCCACCTCAACGGAATGGCCTGGGAGGGGCTGCCCTCTGGGATAGGCATCTCATGCTATTTGCTTAAACCCTTTTGGGCCTGAGCTGTAGGCAGCAGCTGACTATACTAGGATACCCACACACACACACACATACACCCCCAGGCATCTCCCAGGTGTCCTGGTCAACCCCACCCCCTGAAGTCATTGAGTCTGGGAGAAGGAGGAGAGAGAGAAACAGAGCACAAGGAAAATTCTCAAATGAGTTAGAAAAATGGATTCTCTATCTTGTGATGCCAGAGGATCCAAATGGACTGAGGCTGGGAGGGGGTTATAATCTCTTCCCAGTTGGCCTTTTATTTTGGTCACATTTCCACAAAATAAGAACTGACATCCATGTGGATTCAAGTCACTTGGAAATAGCCCCCTCTCCTTCTTGCCAATAATTGTAATTCGTTTCCCATACATGCTATTCAAAGGCTATTGACTATTGACACGTTCTACAAGGAGTAATTTGCTGAACTGTGGAAGTGTGGTGAGCACAAGTAAATATCCAGCTGTGAGAAGTCTGAGGCCCAGACAAATGAACTGAAGTGTCACACAGGATGTTAGCAGTAGAATAAAGTGTTGAAGACCATAGCTGAGCTCTGGACTCCCAGCTGAGGGCTTTGGTCAGAAGGCATCTTGTGTGTTAAGGCTCTCGCTCATATCATAATACTGAAGAAGAAAGAATGGGAGTGCTTACATTTGTGAAGGCTTTTTTTACATATTAACAAACTTTTGTGTGCTTTTTTTTCTCTTGGCAAGGCTGGTGTCTCTTCCTAGCTATCAGCTCAGTCCCTTACTGCACTTCAGGTTCTTCGAATCCGGGTGAACAGCCCTAAAGCTCAGCCCAAGACATCTATTCACATTCCCCAGTCTCCACACATCTGCTGTGGAAGGGCTGCCTGGAAGCCTCCCAGGGCAAGTCCTCCTGAGAGAAGGGGAGAGAATACCACCCAAAGAGCTCTGGAGTTCCCGCCACCTCCAGCGCGCTTGTGTTCCTGGGCTCTGGCAGGGACCATCATTGGAATTTAGCAAGAAGCCTGCAGAATAATGACTATTGCTGTGAGGCTGACAGCTGGTAAGGACTCATTAGGGAGTGTCAGTTTTCCATAGGCAACTGCATTTCTGAGAAAAGGGCCTGACCCGGGCAGGGGAGGGGGGGAAACCCCCATAAAACCAGCAGCTATTTCTATTTCAAGAGAACAAGTTGTTGAATCTGAAGTGACAAGAGAGTTCACAAACCCCTTAATCGCCCACTTCTGGCACGTGCCATCCACTCTTGAGACTAAGATGTGGGTCAAGACTATAAAAGAAGCCCTTGATGAACCTTCTCTTTCCCACCTCCAAGCACATGCTGAGAACATAGCAAACAGCCTCAGGAAATCTTCACAATCATGGAGGAAGTTGGGGAGACTAGGTTTTGAGAGATGAGACCAACCACATATGGCACACACTTTATATATCCATATCATATATCCCTTAATCGTATTTGGGAAATCA